CCCTCCCCCCCCTCTCTCTCTCTTCCTTTTTTTTCCTTGTCCCCATCTTATGTAAGTGCTAGGGATTGAATCTAGGGCCTTGTGCATATCAGATAAGTATGTGCTTACTAGACCATCACAGTCCTGTATCCCCAGACCTTGCTTTACATTTTATACTCAGTAAGGACTTCACTAAATTGCACAGGATGGCTTTGTGCTTACCCTGTAGTCCAGGCAGTCCTTCACCTCCCATTCTCCTGGCTCAGCTTCTCAGGTATGGATAGAAGCCAGTGACACCATGTTTAGCTTGCAGTCAACTTTTCTCATGCTGAGCTTGACCACTACTTCATTCACTCCACTGATAAATGGCCATCTACACCTCAGAAGAATCCAAATGAAGGCCTGATATTTATCACTGTCTTGTATTTGACTTGACCTTCTGTAGAGGGCTTGCATAGCAGCCAATACTTTGTTCTCGGTGCCAGTGTGTACCCCCCACCCCCTTGCCAACTTTGTTTCCACCTAGAAACATACACCTGGATTTCTAGGTGTAACTCTATGCAGACTTGCATACATCACCATATGTGACCTTATGGCAGGAAACTTTGCTTATGTTTTAAGAAACATGTCCTAACTATGTAGGAGAGTGTGATAAACACAGGATATTTTAATTGAAATCTTTCCAGTGTTGTTGTTTAATTAGAATCTCCTAATGTTCCATGTTTCTTGACAGGAAAGGAGATATTTCTGGAAACAAATAAACAAACAAACAAGCCAAACAGCAACAATAACAAAAACAGTGTTAACCCTTCCAGCATGTACCATACTATTATAACAAACATACAAAGAATTACACTTTCCCAGGAATTCCATATAATAAGAAGGGACAAGCTGAGGCCTCAGTATCTGCCAGAGGAAGAACTTGACTGATAGAAAGGACTTCACACAGTTCTGGCAAGTTCTTCAACCACATTTCAGGAGAGACTGGAGACAAAGATGGGTCAACAGGTCAGCTCTGGATCATACCTTGACAGGACTGTTTACTTATGCACACTGATTATTAAGAGGCATAAAATATTAACTTGACACAGTAGACTTGTGATAATTAATTTTATGTGACATTTACATGTAGCCCTCTTTCAAGGAGACAGTTCGTGCTGATGGTAGACCTTGAAGGCAAGCATGTGATTCTGATTTCACAGATACAGCACAGCATTCTTGGGTCAAGGAGAGGTTGAACAAGGACATTAAAGGAAAGCATGCAAAGCCAGTGTTAGGCAGGCCTGGAATCTGTGGTTTACAGAGGAAAAATGAGTTTAAAATTCCAGAGATGCAATTGGGTTAAAGGGGATTTTCTCAGGATAACAACTGTAGGTTACACCAGAGTCTGGGAAACTCATTCATTTCCATTTAAGGGTATGCTGACATCCTTTAGAACACACACTTCTAGTTGAGGATAGCTCAGCTGGCCTTGTCTGCTGGCCCCATGATCTGAAGCTGCAGATAGAGAAACACGTTAGAGCTTGGAGACGGAGTCTCTCCTCTTTGAACAGCCTTTGCCTGCATTTTTCTCTGCTATACCATGTCGTTCTCCTTCTGTTTTAGATCAATGCTTGAGTCACAGCAACATTTCAAGGAGGGCTTAATGTTTCCATATACCCACAGCCAGTTTCTTCTATTATTAATGGCTCACATTAGCAGGAAACATTTATCCAATTAATGAATACATAAAATGTCATCAGTAACTGAGTCTGTGCTCTAGTCAAGCCTCCTTCACTTTACCTACTGTCTCTTGAACTCCTGGATCTTCCCTGAGATACAAGAAGGTCTTTACTCTTCTTTCTCCCGTGACTCCTGTTCTCTCTGACCTTTATTTATTTTTAGGCATCTAAACACTTCCCAGAGAAACAGCTTTTGAGAGTGCTTGAGAATGACTTACTGGTATTTGAGTAAAAAGCAAAAAGCAAATGAACAAAACCTCTTAGCTGCATCCTCTCCAGGCCATTCTTACAGGAGGGAGTTGAAGATCTCATCTGTTCACAACTGCTAGAAGTGGAGAAGGAGCTCTCGTTGTTTATTCATCTGTCCTGGGCTCTGTCATAGTAGATGACCTTATCTAGCTGGTATGGCAGGCCTCAGTGAGGAAGCATTCAGTCATTCCACGGAAACCAGGCTGGACTGCTATTGTGTGATAAGCAGACTGTTAGGGAGTGGCAAAAGAGTACCAGAAAGATAACATAACCTTTGTCTTTGTGCCCCTTGCTTTCATATTTAATCATTTTGAAAATAATAAGAGAAGGAAATAACAGAATTATGCTTTGTCTTAGAGGCCTCAATCTTGAAGCAGGGCAGAGAGACTCTCCACCCCGAGATCCTTTGTGAGTTGAGTAAAGAGCACAAACAGGATTCCACTTCTCTGCCAGCATTCTCTGGCAGCTGCTCCCGAGTTTCCCAGAACTGTTTATGAATACAGCCAAGGCCCTAAACAAGTCCAGACCAGAGTTCAGCTGTCTGGCTGAGGGCCATACATAAATTGCCTGAAGCCATCATGCAAACCCCAGAGCCTAAGCAAAGACCACCTTTCTCGTGTTTTCCCCAGGAAAGTTCAGAACACGTTAGTCTTGCTTGTAGATAACTCTAAACTTCAGGGATTTTATTTTCATATCAACTAACCTTGTCTCAGGGTGAAATGACCCGTGGAAAGTCCCTGGCTGTGGTTTTTGGCATGTTCAAGATTGGTTTCGATTTCCTTGATATTGGTATAATACCCGGAACTTTGTGAGTGTTAGGCCAGCACTCTATTTCAGAATATATCCCTGGCCCTATAGTGGGGTCATACTCAGAGCTTTGTGAGTGCTAGATCAGCACTCAATCTCAGAGTATACCCTTGGATCTATACTGGGGGTGCTGGCATTTAGTCTAGGCTCCTTTTACTATATCCAGGGCAGCTCCAGAGAAGCAACCCCCAGATGCTCCAATCTACTCTCATAGACACAGATGCTTCTATTGGACCTGTTCCTTCTGACCTATCCACAGATGCTTCCACTGTCCCTGGACAGCAAGGAAACAGCCAACTCTCTTAAGACTGGACCAATATCCCCATACCCATTTTCTTAAGTTTCCCAGAGACACATCACACCAAAGACAGCAGGAAGTAGCTAAAGATCACAATGACCCTATTCCTGCCCCACCATCACCTCTTTCTAGTTTTTCCTTTTTTAATTAAACCAAAATGGGGGATTGTTAGCATTTAGTCTAGGCTATGCCCCACAGTTACCTGGCAAAAGCCAGGTATGCCTGACTCATTATAAAAGGGGCTGCTCAACTCCTCCTCACTCTCTTGCTTTCTTGCTCTTGCTCCTTTACCCTCTTCCCACTCTCTCTCCATTCCCCTCCCTCCTCTCTCTCCACATGCTAATGGCTGGCCTCTACTCCCTTACTCTCTGTCTCTCCTCTTCGCTTCTCTCCTCTCTCTCTCTCCTCTCTGGACCACAGGCTGTTACAGCAGCAGCAAATTTTTCTACAATTATACTTAAAATTTATTCTTTGAAAATGTCATATGTAAGATACAATGTATTTGGATCATAGTCTATCCCCTCCAGCTCTCCTATTTCTGTCTCCTATGCCTTCCCAGTTGCCCATCTTCCTCAGAACTGCACCTCTGAAGACCCTCCTCCTCCTGGCACTAATGCCATTCGCCCCTCAGCGAGGGGTGGGACCTCATGAGTCCCTCTTCCATCCAATCCTCAGGTTTTCCTTCAATTACGTTTGATTTCCCCTCCCCCAGACATCTTAGCAGGTTTCTCTACATTTTGATCACAGATGGACAAAGTTGATCTCCTTCACTCGCTGCTGGCCACACACAAGTGTATGAGCAGACCCTTGAAGTGCACTTTAAACAAATCTGCGAAGAATGTCAAAAAGAATTCTACTTCTGTTTTCTGGCTTTGTTCCCACACTGGGTACACCCAAGTTCCCACTTTGAAGTCCTGAGGCTGCATTATTCTTAGGGTCACTCTTTTCACCAAAAGTGCAAACATTAGAATTTCCCAACCTTGGCCCACAACCTCTTACACAACAGACAGCATTTGAACAAGTACCATCTGTAAGGGGCAAGGTACTTCTTTAAAACAAACAAACAAACAAACAAACAAACAAACAAACCATAGCTGTTTTAGTCTTCGATTTAGAGAGGTGACTGGGGTAGTGCTGTCCCACTCCAGTGGCAAAACATGTTTTGCGTTTTCTTGAAATGGATTCCTCTTGTTAGAGCTTTCTTGTGTGTGTGTGTGTGTGTGTGTGTGTGTGTTTGGTGAGTTGGGCTTGTGGATGTGGTCCTGTGGAGGTTACACATGGTGTACACAGGACGTCTTGCTAAGACCACCAAGATACTAACATCTCTATCTCACTTCCTTCTGTTGGCGAAAGCAGAAGTTTCCGTGGAAACAGCGGCCACTGAGTTCCAGTTGAAGTGAGAGAAACGTTGCAGAACTCAGCTTTATTTTTCACTTCCTGCAGGGGGATGGGAGTGCTCTGGCCTCCAGGGTCTCTATAGTCCATTATGTCCAACGGACATCAGCCCCCTCGGTTAGCTTTTTGTCTAAGCTTCGTCCCACAGTTACCTGGCAAGAGCCAGGAGTGCCAGACTCACTATAAAAGAGACTGCTTGTCCCTCCTCCCTCTCTTGCTCTTGCCTTCTTGCTCCCACTTTGTCCTCTTGCCCTTTCCCCACCTCTCCATTCCCTTTTCCCTCTCTCCCCATCCTCCTCCCCCCTCTCCTTCCACGTGCTCATGGCTGGCCTCTATTCCTCTTCTCTCTCTCTCTGCCTTTCTCTGTCTTTACTACCCTCTCAACTCCCCTCCCCGTGCCCTGAAAAAAACTCTGTTTCATACTATGCCATCTTCCATCGTGTGGCTGATCCCTGAGAGGGAAAGGATGCCTCAGCACGGGCCTGTGGGAGGCACCCTGTTCCCCATACCTGACCAAACATATTCCTTCTCTCCTTATCTTCTTATAAGCACAACACCCATTCCTTCCTTTGTGTCCCCACGCACTGGTGGCACAGTCTATGTGTCAGGACTTGGAGGAGGAAGAGGAGAGGCCAAACGTTTCTCAGCTCACTTCTGCACCTCCCCAGCCAGTTACCTAGAGCTACCAATATGAGAGTCTTGCTTATTCCTTCCACTGCCCATGTAGAGAAAGAAGGCATAGACACAAAGAAAGTGACTTCATTGAAAACAAACAAACACACAAACAAACCTTCTCAATATGAAAAAATAGAGGACTTCTTCCACATAGCATGCTGGGATGGAGGGCCTCTGAGGGTGTCAGCAGGTGGGAAAGGGGTGTGCAACAGGTTAGCAACAACATTACTTCCTTTGTCTCTGTCCAGAACATCACAATGGACTCAGACTCCCTGCAGGTGCAGGAAGGGCTTACAAAGGCCACCAGATTTTCTGGGACCTGTGAATATAGAGAAAGATTTGACAGTCAGCATGATAATCCCCTCGAAGGGGCCTGTCTTTTAGAGACCAGCCTTCAGGTAGAGTTTAGAACAGTTCTGAACTTCTTCAGAACATTGCCAAGCACAAGTCTCCAAACCGATGGCACTGATGAACTGTCAGCCTGTCTCCATCCTCTGAATCTTTTCCTTTGTGAGGGACCTGCCAAACTTCATCACTCAGAAGTTAGGGTCAGAGACAGGAAATTTAATCAATATGCAAGGAAGAGGAATCGACAAAGTGATTCAGTGACCTCAGGCTCATTTTTGGGATCCCACCAGGGCTTTAGGCTTGAGGTGGGGCAGAATTAAGGAACCAGATGGTTCTCTCAAGCAAGGACTTCTTCAAAACAGCTGGAAGAACAGGAACTGAGCTACTGACCACCTATATAGCACAGTCAGACTGAGAGCACTTAGTCAGAAAGCCCTTAGGGCCCTTCACTAATTCTTCCTCTACTTAAGACCAAGCTGATGTCAGTTTTCTAAAAGACAGGATCTATTCCTGTGTTCCATTTTGCATTTTGATTGAACTCCACATTTCCATCATGACCCTTGCTGGAGCACATTAGAACCTCAGTTATAGTATGTGGTCCAGGCCTCATGTTACAAGATGCCCCATGAATTCCAAAGTTAGAGTCCCAGACTACACTACAGGTGCTTGCCCATGCCTAAAGGTAATAGTGGTTTTTATGAGCGCTGACTAAACAAATCGGGAATTCCAGAAACTGGGCACAGTCAGAGCAGGCTCTTAAGAGATTTCCCCGAAGGGAAGAAGAAAGCAAGAGTCATCACACCCATCACTTAAAACACCTCTGTATGGTTGGTTTTGGTTCTCAATTTAACACTTCCTTGCAAAGGGAGTGTCCGTGAGGGATTATCTAGATTAGGGTGGTATGTGGGTGCATCTGAGGGAGACTAACGTGGAAAAAAAAATTCTCCCACTGTAGGAGACATCATTGTTTGGGCAGGGGATTTTGAACTGTCTGAGAGTGAAGAAATTACACTAAGCATTCACGTGTACATCATTACTTCATTGTTCTTTCTTTCCACTGTGGATATATTGTGATCAGCTCCTTCAAAGGTCTTCCGTCTTCACTTCCCTTCAGTGATGGACTGTGGTGGTTAGAATGAGAAATGTCCCTCATAGACTCATGTATATGAACACTTGTTCCCTAGTTGGTGATGTTTAGGGGAGGCTGAGAAACCTTTAGGAGATGTACACATAGAACACAACTAGTGGTGGGTGGGCTTTAAGAGTTTTTAGCCAATGAATGGAGGAAATCAGGCAAGGAGACACACCAATGCACGTTTCCCCAAAGTAGGATGGAACATGAAAATCCATAAGACTATCAAATCATTGGGCCTGTAAAAATGATACTATATGTTCTTCAAGGAAAATATGGGTGTCCTCCTAAAGTATTAGATTGAAAACTGTGCCGATGTAAGAAGGTGGGGTGGGGGGAGGCAAGATGCACAGTAAATGATGTCGCTGCTTCTTATAGCAAGAATTATCTGTTCTATAGACAATTCAATTACGGATCTAAGCAAAAGTCCTGAAAGGAAGGTATCTGAGATGACTCACTGGGCTCTGCTGCTGTGTTTCATTCCTGGGCCTCACATTTGACCGACTCTGAAAAGTTGATCTCTAATCTATATTTGTGTACATACACACACACACACACACACACACACACACACACACAGTGAAATTACAAAAGCATGTGTATGTTGAGAACTGGAGGGACTACTCACCCTGAGAACTGAGCATCAGATGCATGGTGCAGTGACTAGCCTGAAAGCCACTCACTCCCATCCGCCAGGGAGATGTTGCTGCCGCTTCAGCTTCAATCGCCACACATGCAGATATTATCTACGTGCAGCTTAAAGCTCAGAAGGCGTTCTCCCCCCTTCCCCCCCACGCCCCCAACAAAGAACACCAAGAGGACCGAGGTATGGAGAGATGGCTCATCCCTTTATGAACGCTTGCGGCTCTTTTACCTGACCCTCTTCAGGCAGCTCGCAATCATCTGTTACCCTAGTGCCCTCTGCTGAGCATTGGTGCACCTGCAGGCAAGCACACAGGACGCTCCTCCCATCCCCTCTCCTCCGCACCACCCCACCACGCGCTCCCTCCCCTCCCCCCTAACAGAAATGTAAATAAAAACATAACTTTAAAAGAACCCAAAGGGTCATCGTCACCTGTCAAAAATAACACTGTGCAGAGTCCTATTTAAAATAAACAACCCTGCGGATTGTAGTGCTCCTCCCGGCTCCCTCAGAACAAATTCTTTTTCTTTTATAGGAAACAACCAAGTCTCATCTAACGGCATCGCTAAAAACACAACAAACGAAGGCATCGCTAAAAACACAACAAACGAAACGAAACACAAAACAAGTAAGAAAGGCCTTGGTTGGAACCTGTGGGCATCTCTGCTCCTCAGTAACTCTGAAAGTCTTCCCACAGGAATTCTTACTGTACCGAATCTGGAGAGTTAAACTTCTGGTCCTCACGAGTCAGGTGGAGTCGCCTCCCTCTCTAATTTCTACCGGGCTGAACGGGCGGGGCTGAGCAGGACGGGGCGGAGCGGGGCGGGGACTAAGCGCTCTGTTTCAGTAAAGCACACGCGTACCTGTCACAAGTCATATCCAGTGAAGTGTGTATGTTAAGCTTCCAACTAAAACACGAAGAGAAGAAATAATCTACCAAAAATCTAACAGACTTGCCATCCCTCAGGAAACTGCTCCATTTCCAAGGGACGTAAATTCTAATTAACATACCCAGCTGCCAATCTCAAATTGGTTTCTTGAATTTGACCATTTGCTGCCTATAATCCATCATCTGCAGAGGACGCTGTCAAAGTGGATAAAGTTACTCCTGTTTCAGAAGGAAAAGCTCATTTACACAGAACGTCTAAAAATAAAGTCGAGACCCAAGTACTGGGCACTGAGACAACACCTGCTAACACTACTCATCTGCTTCCCATATAAGCTTGGTAGAGCTAGAACACATTTGCATATGTATGTATGTATGTATGTATGTATGTATGTATGTATTTATGTTTATTTAAAACACAAGGATTTGTACTAGATTTTTAAATGATCAAAAGATGATCAGTATTTAATTTTTAAATTTATTTTCATAAAACTTAAATACCTTGCTGGATTGTGGTATTATGTATCTTCAATTCTATCACTCAGTCGTCAGAGGCAGGGGGAATTCTGAGAGTTTGAGACAAGCTAGCTCTACATAGCGAGTTCCACATCTGCCAGGGCTATACAGTGAGACCTGTCTCAAAAACAAACAAACAAACAAACAAACAAACAAACCAGCAAGCACCCTCACTTAAATGTCCTGCTTCAGAACATTAAGACAAGTGTGACATTCTTTCTCCCCTTCTGTTTGCATTTTCTGCTCGTTGGTTGACTTATGTCTTCCATAGTTGTGGCTCAAACAAAAGATAAAGTAAGTTTATAATTATATGGCGTGTTAGCAGCTCAGCGAGCATTGCGGCTCTCTTGTTTGTACCTCCCAGACACTCTTTCCTTTGTAAACACTTATAAGTTAGTTTATATTGAAAAGTGGGTCAGGAAAACTAGTGATATAAAGTGATGAATTTCATTTAACACTTAATTTCAATGAATTACTATATAAAAGATATCTCATAATTTATGTAATTATAAACCAATGTCTGAATAATTTCCCTCATGCATACACAACGCTTAGTTTTTATGATATTTTTCACAGATAGGCATTCTATATTCCCAAAGCTTTAAAGAGATTTGTGTGAAATCTCTTTAAATATTGTGACAATTACTTCACAGTTGATATGTGAAGAGGAAAAACAAAACCAAAAAACAAATGAAAGACAAACCAACAAAACCCAGACTACTTAGTATTTCAGGTTTTAATTCTAACAAAGTGATGAGATAAATCCTTATGTAAGCTACATCAGCTAAAGCATACATAGACTCAGTAAAAACCTCAGAGGTGTCAAAAATTCAGGCTAAGCAATTCAAACCAGCTTTTCAAATCATGTATCAAGCAGCAATCCCTCTATCCGGTCTATATCACACCTGGGAGGTGAGAACCATCAAGAGGCTGTTAAAGCATCTGTAAGATACTCTTACCAGGATACTGCTTCTCAAAAATTTCATTTTCAGAGTGCAGCTACGAGATTCTGTAAGAAAGCAGCCATGTTAAAAGCAGTAGAAATAGAACTATTCGCCAACGGACCGACACTCCCAAAGTCTGTTTGCGCCCACCTCTCTGCCTATCTTGCACTAACGTCTGTGTCTGCATGACTTAGAGTCATTGTGAACTTCCTGTCTCTAACTGCGGATGCTCATGCTTAAGGAAAAGTATTGTTCAAATACAATGCGTGATGGTGCAGATAACAGATAAGAGTCAAAAGTCAGAGAGTGTTAGCAAAAACATTTCATATTAGTTTCCATGGCAGTTGAAGTCACTAGCAAACTGGAAAATATCAGAGATGGGCAAATGTGTGACTCAAAATCAGAATCACGCATTCCTGCCTCCCCCTGCTTACTTCTGGATTACACCGAGTGACACCATCTTAGTTTCTTTTCTATTGTTGAGATAAGACACTAGGACAAAGACAATTTACAGAACAAAGGGTTGATTTGGGGGGTTATGGTTTCAGAGGGTGTCTTAGTTACTTTCTATTGCTTTGAAGAGACACTATGACCATTGCAACTTGTAAAAGGAAGCATTTAATTGGGAGCTGGCTTACAGCTTCAGGGCATTAGTCCATTATCATCGTGGTGGACAGCATGGAAACAGGCAGGGAGGTGTGGCTCTGGAGCAGTTGCTGAGAGCTTACGTCTGACCTACAAGTAGGAGGCACAGAGGTGAGAGAGAGGAGGAGAGGGGGAGGGAGAGAGAGAGGAGGAGGGGGAGGAAGGGAGAGAGGAAAGGAGAAAGAGAAAAAGAGAGAGAGAGAGAGAGAGAGAGAGAGAGAGAGAGAGAGAGAGAGAGAGGGAGAGAGAGAGAGAGAGGAGAGTTAGCTGGGAATGATGGGCTTTTGAAACCTCAAATCCTGCCTCCAGTGATATATATGGCCACTCCCCCTAATCCTTCCCAAACACTTCCATCAACTGCACACCCAAGTATTCAAATATGGGACCCTTAAATTTCAAACAGTCACCATACTTTAGAGTTCAATCTACCTGTACTACATGTCTGTCTGTCTGTCTGTCTGTCTCCTTTATCAGTTGTCTAGCTATCGCATATCCATGTATCTATCAGTATCTACTATCTGTATCAATTTTCTGTCTAAGGAGAGACTCCTTTCTTTTACACGGTGTTATGTTTGTGAGACTTCACATTGTGAGCTGAGTTGAGCATTAATATCAATTTCTGGAGTAACTCTATAGTCCTCTTCTTTCAATGGACATGCTAATTATTGTTATTTTTCATGAAGTGCACTGGACATTTTCATGTGTGTACACTTGTAAATATAACCCCTGCCATTTTACTTGTTTCCTAAGAAAAAGACGCAAGAGTAGAATTTGTGAAATAAGAATGCTTTGGTGTGATTTTTCTTAGGTAGTATTAAACTACCCTTTCAAATAATTGTGCATCCATTTTCTCCTCAGGCCCAGGATGGACTATCAGTCCAGTTGCTTCACAGTCTCACTGGTATTTACGTGTTCAGTTGTGCTAAAATTTGCCAATCTGTATATATTTAGTGCTCTCGTAGTGTAATCTAAATTTTTTATGTTGGATCATAAATAAAGACAATCAGCTTTTTTTTTATCTGTACTAGACATTTGGGCATCTTCTTTTCTGAAAGGTCAGGAAGAGTTTTGTTCACTTTGCTAGTGAGCTTTATGTTTCTTATGTTTGGTTAGTGTTTTTAACACTTGGGCGCTAGTCATATGTCCACATGTTGTCTAATTTTGGTTGTAAACTTGATTAGAATAGTAGACACATAGAAAATGGGTGTGTCCAGTAAGGTGCTTCTGGAGAAATTTGGTGTATGGGTCAGGAAACTGAAGGGAAGAAGAGTTTCTTTGAATGAACAAGCTTATTCTTTAGTCTGGGGTCCAGATGCAACAAAAAGAAGAGGATGGATTCTGTAAAGTTAGGTTAATTGTCAACTTGAAAGACTCTAGAATCACCCCTGGGAATTACTCAAGTATGTTGACGGAGGTGGGAGGACCTAGCACTGATGGTGGCACCATTGGGTTGGGATTCTGGATGGTGTTAAGTACTCAACAGCTTGTCCTTTTCTGACTGTGTGTATGGAATGGTCAGATACTGCAAACTCCTGGAGACCTGAATTCTCTTCCTTAGGTAAACTGAAACATTATAAAACAGAGAGTGCTTTATATAGGGTAATCCTGGGTGAGCCTGCAAGCCTCACTCTTGAAAAGCTGCTGGATGAAGCTTGGGATCCTGATCTGGGCTGCAAGGCTGCCTGCCCTCTCACCATTGCGTCACATCGGGTTGACAAAGTCAGATTTTCAGAATCTGATCTCTCACCTGTGCGTGTCTGCAGAGAGGACCATTCCATGACTGTGCAAATTAGGATGGAGTTAAATACAGGCAAGAGATAAGACTTGGAAGAGTGTCTTGCATTTCACAGCCGCAAGCATCTTCCTCTTCTTGAGGGCTCAATGTTTTGACTCTCTCACCACATGGAGATATCTGAAGCTAACCTGAGGTTATGAGGGAAGAAATCAGCTCCCACTGAGGGGAGTGGTGTACTTTGTTCAGTCATTTCAGGATGGCTTTAGCTAGTGTGATTGTTCTTATTGTGGTGTATGTTCTTTTTCTTTCACATTCACTCCTTCTATCTTATGTGTCTTCTATGTGTGTGTTCGTTTAGACTACATATATGTGTATGTTTCAGAGGTCAAAGAGGGCATCAACTTCCTTGGAACTGGAATTACAGATAGTTGTGAAGTGCCGAGTGGGTGCTGGGAATTGAATCAGGTCTCAAACAGCCAGGGCTTTAAAACACTGAACCATCTCTCCATCCCTACTTCCCTTTCTTATCTTAACTTTCTTAATGGATTTTTATCCAACATTCAACCAGTTGTCTTCTGAGGTATGAAGGATTTTAGGGAGTAGTGTTCTATGCTGCCTGAAGATAAGCCATATTGGGCAAAGTGACAAGAACTGGTGGAATCCACCTGACTAGTTTAACAACAATACAAGAAGGTGGGTTGTATTGCTAACTAGATGAAGTAACAGCGTATTTATAAAAGCTATAAATTCTGTCCATAATCATTGCACAAAACACTGACTTTGAATGTTGACAGAATGATAACTTAGAATATTATTATAGGGCATAGAAAGGGATTTATGACCTGGAGAGTAACAACTAGGTAAAAAACAGCATAATTTTTTTCCTCCAAAGCTCCAATCCCATATTAGTCTAAGTTTATTTGTGAAAAAAATTCCAAATCCAGATTATTTCAGTACTCAGGAGGCAGAGGAAAGAGGATCTCTGTGATTCGAGGGCCAGTCTGGTTTACAATAGCAAGTTTTGGTACATCGAGGGTCACATGGTGAGAAAAGTCTCCAAGGTTGACATTTTCTGTAATCTTGACAGTGATTCATAGAGTAGTATTGTATGCTGGGAAGAATGTCAGCAGTTGTTGCGTGTAGTTTTTAAAAATCAAACCACACGAAACCGGAGGTCTCGATCTGTTCCCAGTCTGGTGCATAGCCTGAGACCAAGACGAGTGTTTCTTTTACCCAAATTCTCTCCCACAGATGTCAGCTTTGCCTTTCCAAAGCTCTGAGATCACTCTCTCGGTTCCCACTAAGTTCTTTCCCTCCAGCCCACCTGAGTCGCTGCGAATGGAAAATCTTAGACAATCTTAGTTTAAAATTAACACATGACACAACCACTGGACACGGAATCTATCATCCTAAACTCATCAACTATTCTATGTTGGAAATCTTCTGGTAGCAGAAACCGCCACCAGATCTAACAATTCCTGGTCTACATCTTGCTTCCTCTTGCTCCCGCCTTGCCATTAAAAAAGGGGTGGGGTGGGGGGGTTGGGGGAAAGTTGTTCCTTCCTTCTGCATCCCCTCTTCTTTTCTCGGACCCAGAAGGCCTGCCTCCTCTTTTTTGCCCAGCTATTGGCTTGTCATCTTTATTATTTAATCAATTAATTGGGGAAAAATTCCCCTACAAGCAGTGGACTCAGGCCTGTGTGATGTAGTTTCTCCTCTATTTTTGGCAACTATCTGAGGAAACAACTAGCATTTTGACATATATTTTTTATCTTATTTTGGTTTTCCAAACTTAAGTTAGAAATTTTGATAAATGTACCCTAGTTCTCTGAGGAGGCTAAAGTTTAAAATATACATTCTTATACATTGCCCTAAATCTACTGGTTTAGACTTTTGAGACTGGAATCAAGAATCCGTTTGTTTGTTTGCTTGCTTGCTTATTTGTTTGTTTTAAAGTCTGTATATTTTTGGAAGCTTCCAGTGCAAATTCAGACTTTCATCGGTCTTTGGTTTCAACTCCAGATTGATCTATCTGGGTCATCTCAGTATCTTCTCACACATTCAAAGGCCAGGACTCACGACACTTTGCTTCATTGGTGGCAACCATCCTTACCATTCTGTGTGTCTAAATCATTTCAAAACACGTTGCCACATGCCGAATTCTACAGTGAATCAAGGTCACCAGTTCAAAAATGTCATGGTACTAGATTCTTACCTCTGAAGTTATGATAGTCCTGAAATAATTCTACATCTATTTTCATTCCAAAAAATCATAGTTTATCTGCAGCTGTGTGGCATTTGCATTAATACAATGAAATAAAAAGATACTTTTCATCTATGTGGCCAGGTTCATGGTCCAAGTCCTGGAGAGCCCTTGGCTGAGCACTGTTGGGGTTGGTCTATTGCTGCTATGCATTCAAATGCTAAATACTGGCCCCCAAGATCTGGTTGCAGTCCCACCAGCTTATTATCCCGTACATGAATGATGTTGTATAAACTTGACTTGCCTATCTTCTCTGACTGCTTAAATAAAAGTAGCTACAGCCAATAACTGGAGAGAATACAGGTAGGCAAGATTTTACTGGGTTGTGGTCGCAGGTAGGGACCAGGAGCAGAGAGAAGAGAAGAAGAAAGAAGAAGGAGCAAGCAGGAAGTCTCCATTAAACGTGATCGACCAGGAGCATATGGCCCAGTAAAATGGCCCCTGTGTACAGATAGACATAACAAAAACAGCCCCGTGAAA